GGGGGAGGGGAGGGGGCGGGAGGACGCACCACGCACGCACGCGGCGGCGCCGGCCAGATGTTCCCCCCCTGCCCAGCCTCGGTCCGCCCCTCTCCTCCCCCTGCCTCCCTCCCTCCCGGCGTTGGGCCTCTGCGATTGACCGTAAGCGGCTGGACCCGCGCTCCCCGCCCGCCCCCAGCGCGCAGTCTCCTCCAATGGCAGGACGGCTTTGCAAGAGGGCGGAGAGAGTGGCGGGCAATCGTCGGACTGACGGGAGGACGCAGCCAATGGGAGAGGCGATCCGGAGCTGCCGCTCGCGCGAGCCAATCGAGAACAGAAACTAGCGGGGTGGGCGGGGGCCGGGGGGGCCGGTAGCGAAGCGGCGCGGGGCGGAGTCCTCGGGCGCAGCGGCGGTGGCGGCAGCGGCGCCCCTCTGGGTGACTTGGCCGTGAGAAAGTGAAAGGAGCCCGCAGGCGGCGGCGACAGCTGCGCTGGGAGGGGCCTGTCTCCGGGCTCCGAAGCCTCGCGCGCCCTGGGGGTGCGGAGCGAGCTTTTCGGTGTGCACCGTGACCACCAGAAATACACTTTTAAACGTAGTGGGGCTGGTGTGCGCCGAGTTACGCAGGTACCCTCGGGAGGCAGGGCGCGTGGGGACACGGAGGACTGGAACCGGCCTGAGGCGGCCCCCTCTGTTCCCCGGGCCGCGAGCGACGCCGCGCAGTCGTCGCCCGCCCGAGCGCAGGGAGTAGGACCGAGCAGTGCCCGGGTTCTGTCCTGCCGCGCCCGCGTCCCCAGGTGCACGTCGGGGCGCCGCGGCCGCGGCCGGTTCGGAAAGGCCGGCTCTGGGCGTCGCTCTCCCGACGTCGCCTGGTTTCGGGCGGCGCGCCTGCGTTTCTCGCAGCACCCTCGCGTCCCCTGTGGGCTCGCACTGTTACAAGTACACACTCCCAAGTGACCAAATGTTAGAGAACTACAGTAAAATTGATAGTTGTGGAAGCCGTAGCCGGATTCCTTAATTGGTACGTATCAAGCCACAACGTTCAACTACCGAGGGGGATGATGTTAAGACTGCAGTATCGCTGTTCCCTCCGTGCGAATGAACTTCCATTCGATCCCTCCTCTTTGCAATTAAATTGGGTTAATCACGGCCACGAAGAAATGTGGAAACTTTTATTCTCAAAAAATTGGAAATCTTGTTGAGGCAGTGATTACTAGTACAAAGTTGAATAGCAAGTAAAAAAAAGGCTCAAGAATGTGAAATAGAAAATTGCACAGTGAGGAAGTCAGTACACCAGTAATTGTCAGATGAAATGTGTTTATTCTTTGCTAACTGAACCGGGACTGACAAGCCTGTTGCTAACCAACTTGCCAAAAGAACTTTCAACTGCGCAAAATGTGCTTTCACTTTGTTCCAGGTCAAATGGGTAAACTAAGTTGGAAGTATTGTGTGGGCAAATCAGGCATGTTGAATTGCTAATGAAGTAAAAACAGGAGCACATAACATTCCTGGAACTGAAGTACAGTTGGGCTGTCCTGTTAAACCAGTGCTGATGTTCTCTACTCTTTCCTCGACTTTTTCATGTGCCTTCAGGATTGATCCCTGAGGTCATGGCCATCCTGTGATAACTAGTTTTTTAGCCCATGAAACATACTGTTGTATGTATGCTTTTGGTGAATTCTAGATCTTTTAGTCTATTGGTAGAAGGCCCAATTTCAGTTTGACCTGTTTCCAGTTAGGGAAATTTGTAAGTGTTCTTGATGGATGCAACATTCTATAAAAAAAAAAAAAAAAAAAAAGTGAAAAGGAGCGCATGCTTTGCCAACAAGTTTAGGAAGAAAAAAGGAAAAAGAAATGTTTGCATTCTCAAAGCTGTTCCTCACCTATAAAAAGGAAAGTAACATCTCTGGATGAATAGACATAAAGTAATTGATAGTGTCAGGATATTAAATAATAAATTCATGAGAAAATTAGAACAGATTCTCCACAAAAAGCTTGGAAACTCAGCTCTGTGGCATATAGAGCAAAATCACAGCTGTAACAAAAGGTTTTACAGAATGAACCTACAAGGAGAATAACAGCCCCAGAGATGAGCCAGGAGTCTGACATGTTGATGCCTCAGAAGTTGTGAGCATTGTTTCCTAGATCTAGCAGTCATTACTAGAATTCATATTGAGAGCTAAGTAGTATAGCCAGAAAATATAGATTAAATGGATATTTAAGGAAGCAAGTATGTCGTCCCTCAATTATGTAAAAGATTTTATAAATTTATGAAAATGCATGGAATATTCATACGTTGTCAGAATCAATAAAAACATTTCTGGAGTATTGCGTTCAAGAAAGGCACTGTGATGGGATATGGAAGACAATAAAAAAGCAAGAGACAGGTTCTCTCCTTCCTGGGGTTTAAATGTAGCTGGGAAAGAAATGGTGCGAATATACAAAACTCTGAAACAACAGAGAGACTAAATAACAGTATAATAGGATATGAGTGTCAGAGCTAAATGTAATGTTCAGTTGTTACAACTGCCTTATCCCTGGTCCCTGGTGAGGTGGTATTTTCTCTGCCCCTTTTTTTACATTAAAAAAATTTTTTTACTCCCTGACTTTATTTGAAGGTATCATAAACTTACTATAAAAATGATACTTTTAATCATCTTTGAAAAATCATCAGCATACAAATTGTAAATAAAAAAAGACTGATGTCAGAGGTGTCATGACACAGAATGATTACTATTTTTACTGAGTGTCCATTGGAACCATGGAAAGTAGTAAGTCAGACCCAGATAAGGTAAGCTCCTCAGGTAAGCTCCTCAAAGTAGGGTCTGTTTACCTCTACCCAACAGGCTTAGCAAATTACCAAGATAAAAAGCTCCTTGGTAGAGTTTGAAAGCCAATAATTTTTTTCCCTCTCCCACAGGGAGGGAAAAAAAAAGTGCAGAAAGTACAGTCTCTAAACTATTAGAAAAATGTACCATTGCTTTCCTCTGAAAAAAAAAAAAAAAATCCCAATCCTGTACAGTTTAACAGCTCACACTTTTCTGGGAGTCCTGAAATTAAAAATGACACAAGTCAATCTAACCGTTCATGGTTAGATTTCTTGCCAGAGATCAAGTTTTATGTTTTAATGACACATGGATTTCAAACAGTAACAATTTAATGCTATAAAATGTTGACGGACCAAATAAAATTTAATTTGATGGGCAACTCCATAAAATGAATGTCTGACTTTTAAATGTGAACCACACACAGGTCAAATCTCTGAAAAAAAATCAGTGCCTTTGTTATACTTTGTGCATAGGTCATGTCGAAAAAGTTATCTATGCAATTAATTTTTGAATATTGACTTTTATAAACTTCATGTATAACTGGGGTCTTTTTGTCTTAAAAAGTCAGGAAGCAAGCATTAATAATAAAAGACCAGATATTCCAAAGTGCCATATTTTACATATAATAACTATAAAATATAACAAAATGTGGGTAGAGGTTAACCTGATTTTGAATCTAGAGAGAAAAAATATACTAAAATGAAACGTGTTAAAGCTGCTATTAAGCCCAGACTCTTTCAATGTCATAGCACACATGAAATTCTATTAACTTGTTTAGATTCTTTCTCTCATTCTCTCTGGCTTTTAGAAATGAACAGGTTGAAATGGCCTAAAGGTAGAAGGAGACACAGAAACACAGCTGAGACAATAGTAAAAAAAAAAAGTAAATGAACAAACTGGAACACACAGTACAATAATGACATGAACAGGGAGCATATTCCCCAAAGCACAGTTTTTAAAAAAATACATGTTCATAATTCTGCAAAATATGTTATATAACAAATCATTCCCTGGGTTATAAATCCTGTAATACTTGAATCTATTTATTAAGTTCCTCAGCTATGATAAGCCATAAATAAGAGATAATTCATCCTGATTCTCAGCCCTGAAGACAGAAATAATGTTATCATAAACTCTTGAGGAAAGATCCTTAGCAGATTTATACGGGGCACTGGGGATACACTACACCCCCAATACTGAAAGCAGAAAGAGCCTCCACCAGTAATTCAAACCTGTTTGAGGGTTAAGGGGAGAAGAGAAGCAAAAGATACAGTCTTCCCAGAACTGTTTTTCCTGTGGAGCCAGTTTTCAGTTGCTTGCTGTAAATCAGTGCGTTGACATGACCATCATAAATCCAGAGACAGCATAATGGGTGAAGGAGGCTGATAGTTTAGGCTTGGTTAACACCAAGACTGGCCACCCACACCTCTGTTCTCTCCTGTCTCTCTCTCCCCCCCACCGCCCCGACTCTTTTCCTAAACAAAATCAATTGGTATAGAGAAGTCTACCACCCTTGAAAAATCACACAGAAATTCCAACATCCAGATGTTGGAATTGTCCTGTTATTGTGGAGGCTGCCTTAATTTGGATAAGTAAAAGATGCATTCATTTTATCTGTGGAGTCTTTCCGGCTTAATTTTTAAAAACTAATCTGATGAAACCTATAACTTTTCCAGATGAATAGACTCTATAACAGAAAGATTTGATACAAACCTATGATATTTATGCCCCATTTTTTAATAATGTAAATCTTGGGGTTTGTTTGTTCTAAAATTTGGTAAAATATATAGTCAGGAGGGGTAGTTTGTTTTGTTCAAAATGAAAGAATAAAACTTCTAAATCTGTGAATGCTGATATTCTTAATTATATTCCGTTGCTTAAATTGGGGCTTGTAGAAATTCGGTGCAAATGGACTTAGCTTGAAAAACTGGAGAATCGGGTTTCCAGTAGGTACTGACGCTGTGTACCTACTATGTGTCACGTGTTGCGCTTCCGACCAAAAGAAACATCTGCCTGTCTACATTTCAATGCAGGAAGATTTTCCTTCCTTTTATGCTCATTCCAACCTCCAATGCAGTACTTTCTTGGACTTAAATGGGCAGAAAGGAAAATGACGCATCCCCAAATTATTGACTGAGAACTTACAATACATTAGAGAAATACGGAACTGCATTTCCTGGTTCTTGTAAAATTTCCACCATGTGCTAGGTGCCAGAGATACATGAGATAAGCTCATCCCTCCCTTCGGGTCTTCATTATGTATAAATGTCATTGTGAACACAGTGGACAAAGACAGCATTTCAGTTTTCGTTCAGTGGCTAATAAATGCATACCAATCCTAACTATTGTAATAATATAAAATCATCTTAATCAAAATCTTTTCTTATACAGAAATTCTATACATTTAATGCAAAAGTCTTGATACATACCAAATTCAAACTATTCCTGGTAATAAGAGCAGACAGAAGGTAAAATCTCACTCCAGAAATTTACTTCGCCCTTAGCGATAACATGCAACTCAGGAAGTTACTTCCCTCACAAAGAACTAGCATTTATGCTTAAGACTAAAATGATTATTTTTAAAGTACTCATTTTACAATGCAAATGTGTATCTAAATTAAACTCAGTAAAAATAAGCATTTTAAATTGAAGCTGCAGTAATGACTTTATGGGAGACAATAGGAAAAGTGGTTCTTGAATGTGAACTCAGAGAAAACAGATTTCAAATTTCTTCTATGTGACTTGAAGCTTTCTTTGCTCCCTGGCTCTGCACCTTAACATATTGGCACATGTTTAATTGAGAACCCGTTGCCCTGAAGTTGTTTTACAAAATTGAGGCTGTTCAACAAGGTCATAGCAAAAAAATATAAGGGGGAGGGGATTGTGAGTCAAAAAACCCCAAAAGACAAGAAACTGACAACCGGTCCACATTGCCAAGCCATGCCTTAGCACTTGGAATATGGGACAGGTGCGGGAACACAGGCTCACTAAGAACAGCAACAAGAATCTTCCTAACAAAGACATGTACACAGTAGAGCATTTTAGACAGAAACAGGTGACAGAGAAGAGCAACACAGGGGAGAAGAGCTTCATAGGGTAGCC